GAGACCAAACCCAGATCAAACCTCAGTAGAGGTTCATGTTTATATCATTTTATGAGGATATGTAAATGATGGTCTGTTGTGGTTGAAGATCTAAGCTCATAAACTTCAGTTCTCAGTGTAGCCTTGATTGCGAAATAAAGATGGGATCTAGGAAAATCTTCTCTTTTGATTTCAGGACGAAACCGATGTCGACCCTTACGGCAGTGACTCCAGTCTCCTGAAGGTTGGGGTGGATTGTGTCTCCAACCCCTGAATGGCCACACAGTTATGGCCAAGGTTTCTCTAGTCAAAAGTTTAATCATCATATAGGCTAAATGTGATAACATTTGCTTTATAAAGTTCTTTCTTTTTGATGGGATTGAATGATAAAATACAGGATAGCCATTTTCCACTAGATGATTTGTCATTTTTTTGCAGTATACACCTTTCTGCATGGTTATGTTCTTTGAGACGTATTGCACACTGCTTGCTGATTTTATGAATAAAATGCACTATGTTTCATTATTTCTCTTGCACTATATTGAAGACTGCATTAGCGTCCACACCAGCGTATAATAACATTCTGATTTTTATAAGCACACGATGCTGTTATGTCATCTGCCACTTTAAATGCTCAAGCTCTTAAAATTCTGATTGGCTGTCAATGTTTTTAAAGTTCATCAGCTGGGAAAAAAATGAATTCTGATGAAAGTGATTCCAACAGTATTTTCTCAATACTTTCCTAATGCTGGGGGGGAAAAAGTGGACATTTATTTCTAAAACTATAATTTGCTCTCCAATACAGATCCTAAAGAAAAAGCTTAAGCATTTATTTATGGAAGCCTATTTCAGCCGCATAAGAAAAATCATGCTTTGATAAATAAATGCAAAATTATTACATACTAAGTCACAGTTACGACACAAAAATGTGAAATTATGAGATGCTAAGTCATAATTATGACATCAATGGACATAAAAAGTCAAAAATTATGTCATAAAAAGTCCGATTTATGACATACTAAATAATCAAAAATAGATAAGTTGTTTAAATTATGACATAGCAAATCATTATGGCATCAAAAATTGGAATTATGAGATTATACAAATATAGAATTTAACTTTTTTTATGCCTTAATTAGTTTTTAAACACAGGATG